GGAGTAAAAATCACGTAGATTTTAATATCCAACAAAACACCACGAAGGCTTAACTCTCCAAAATGGGAGTACACAAACCACAAAGGTTTTTAGTTTGCAGAATAATAAGAATAACACAAATACAGAAATAAATATTAAATTCCTTAAGATTGTTATTCCCGCCAATATTCTATTCTTAGTTATTTTATATTTTTGGATCAAATTAATTCACGTGTCTATAAACCACATTACAAATTCAGTTGTAATTAAATTGTACTATTTTACGGATAAACAATATTGTCACTTTAATAAATGTTATGTCCAAATGAGAGGGATATATTGTTTGTGGAAACTCCTTTAAGGGAGCTTTCTCTTCTGCTTGCTTCTTCTTGGCCACGATATAATTGCTTGTGTCGAGTTCCCAAACATACACCAGGGTGGTTGGGGTACGAGTCAGACGAGGCCAATGGTCTTTTTTCCCTTTTAAATCTTACGAAATTTTTCCTTTTTAACTTAACAAGTCAGACTAGATTCTAAATCCAAAAACACTTATTCAGTTATAAAACCACGCTTGAGTAGCACTCGGATTTGACAAGAATCACATTTTTCGGTAGTACAAAGCGAGTTGAAGCGAAGTGCTATCAAACGTTTAATATGTAATTTTACAATTAGATTATTGAAAGAAAGTAAAAGAGAAAGATCGCAAGTATGATAAAAGAACACTTTTGTAAAAAAGTTCAACTTGCCTCACAAATGGATTTACCACAAACGCGTTTTTCCCTTGTCCAAGTTGCATCGAAAAAGACCACTTTGTCATTTTACTAAGGTGTGACATGAGAAAGAAAAAAGTGCAAAAAGAGAACAAAAAAGCACCAACTCATGGTTGGAAAATGAAAGCTAGAGAGATATTTGCCAATACAAATGGATTAACTTCAAAAAGTGCTATGCACCATTTAACAAAAACTCATCCAATTTGACCCATTTTGCAAATTATGAGCGGAGATGAATTGAATACCTAACAATGCTAATGATCGGGACTAGTCTTTTTTTGTTGAAGTTGATTCTTCCCTACATTGCTTTTGTTGTACATGTCATGTCTTGGAGGGGCCATATTTTCCCCACATTTTGTCCTCATTATAATTTTGATGCAACGTTTCTTGCACACGTGGTGAGACTGTATTTATTTGGAGAATTTATTTTCCCATTTTTAAAAGAAGGCGATCAAAAATTACTTATTTACAGGTCACCAATTCTTATCTCAAATCTCCAACAAGCTAGCGTTTGGATATAGATTTTCAAATTTGTTTTGAAAAATCTGATCTGGGTGAAATTTGGTTTGAAGATGAAAATGTGTTTGGACATGATTTTTCAAAATATATTTCACTTTTTATTTGAAAAAACATGAAATATGACTTATACTCACAAGTTCTAAAAATTATTACAAATACCCAATAGTACCATTATCACAAACCATAGTCCTGAACATAAATAAGTTTGGTACAAAATTATCATTTTTATAATGAACTATATAAATAATTAATTACGGTGAAATCCCATTAGAGAATTACGGCTCCTAATTAAAAAGAAAAAGTTAACTGATATGAGTGTTCAGAGAGCCATTTAGCCTACAAATCATAAGCAAAAGTAAGATGCACAAAGGATTGAGCTGATAAGGGAGCATATTCATCAAATATTTAGTTGGTCGTAATAAATGTGGGCTCTTTTACAAACTATAAAAGTTTGGGATAATATTTAAAAATTTTAAAAAATATAACGGTCATGTTTTGGCCCAAAATAAGCAATTGAGGCGATTTTGAGATTTAAAATTTTGCCAAATTGTGAGCAAAATCTATGGTCAAATATGTGTTTGCCAAATAAATCCCAAATTTATTTTAACAAAACTCGTGGCGTATCGGGTCCCAAGTATACTCGTGCAAATTGTGAAAAAGGTGTACAAGTTTGTAACTTGCTTTTAAATTTGACAGGTTGTTGCGACGTGGAAAATTCTAAAGTTAGACCCTTACCCTTTTCCTTCCTTAATTTTGACAGTTTGTTTTCTAAAGCCATACCCCTAAATTGAGAATAGAGAAATAGTGTATGCGGTTCACTTTTTCTTTTTCTTTCTAATAAATAATATATAATAATGAGGATTTCATTTGCACGCTAAACTGATACAAAACAATTTGAAAAAGAAAAATTGATATAAAGCAAGAAAATAAATTTTATCGTTTGAAATCATAGCTTTCGTCTAAATTGAATGTTCTAACTTTCTTTTTGAAACATGAATTAATTCTTTAGTAGCAAAAAAGTGGAAGTTGATTAGTTCGTTAGTCTGCAAGGTTTAAATTTTCCATATTTATATACAACCATTTCTGAGAAATTAATAAAGTAATATAGGTTCTTGCTAGCTCTACAAGTATAAATCTAGGAAGTAGATCTAACATGCCTTTTTGTCTTTCTTTCTTTCTTTCTTTTTATGGGATTGCCAATGCTTTGTTAGTTCACATATATGTGTACGAATTATAAATTCTGGAAAATGACATAGGCACATAGCCAAGTGCTTCACGACATCTGATTGTATCAGAATATAAATGAATGTTTGGACTAAACCATGTTTCTTATGTTTTCTACCAGTAAAAACATATGTTTTTATTAATCTTAGGGATGATTTTTTGGCCTTCCTTCTCCAAAACTAGCAAGAATTAATTCAAAAAAAATGAATATCTTCACCTTATTATTGCTATTATCTATACAACATGCACCAAAAAATTAAACAATCTTAGGCATTATTGCATTTCATAAAGAATGACTCTTTTTCTCGTATGAACAATAATAATATAACCCGTATAATTTTACAATTATGATCTGGTAAAGGTACGTGTAACCCGAGGTTTTCTCGTACAAACAGAAATATTTTTTTTTCTTTTGTTCTATATGTTGCTTTTTAAAACCGTTTTTCTAGTGGACGAAAACGAAAAATAGAAAATATCAGTTCTTCCGTCACAAGGCAGGCGTCTGTCTATAAATATCGCTGTGCATCAGAATCAGAAATAGCCATTCCCACTTTCCATAGATCTTCAAGCTTCACAAACTAATTATTGCATTTACCTATTTTTCTGTTTTATCTTGTCCCAAAATTTTCTCATTTCCCTATATGTGTGCAGATCCAAATATTACTATTCATCACAAGAATCTATTCATCCCACATTCCATTACATCCTCAACAAACTTTTTACCTACTTTTTATTTACCAAATTTTGGATAATTTTTGCTATGAAATCAATGAATTTGATAACTATGAAGCCTTGTTGTCGAATTCTAATCGCAAGTAAGAGCAATTCCTTTCTGGGTCTTCCATTCAAGGAGGCCAGCACAAATTTGTCGAATTTTCGTTTGAATTTGAGGCAAAAATCTGATTTTGACAGCTACCCACGTCGAATTATCAATCGGACCCAGAAGCTATATTGTGTCCCAAATTTAAGTTGGGGTCAATCTAGGGTTTTCTCGAGCCCTATTGGTAGAGGTCTCCATGTTATTGCTAGTGTTGCATCTGACTTTAGGAATTATTCAACTTCTGTTGAAACTCGTGTTAATGACAAGAACTTTGAGAGGATTTATGTGCAAGGAGGTTTGAATGTGAAGCCATTGGTAGCGGAAAAGATTGATTTAGATGAACATGCTGCTGGAGCTGGTGGTGAACATGTGAAAAATGATGAGAGCTTGAAAGAGGAGGGCGAGGGGCAAGTGGAGGTTCGGGGCGGGGAGGAGTCAGAGGCGGTGAAAGAGGCATGGAAGTTGTTGGAGAATGCTGTGGTTACATATTGTGGGAGCCCTATAGGGACTCTTGCTGCTAATGATCCTAATGATAAGTTGCCATTGAATTATGATCAAGTCTTTATTAGGGATTTTATCCCATCTGCCCTTGCTTTTTTGCTCAAGGGGGATAAAGACATTGTTAAGAATTTCCTACTTCACACCCTGCAACTGCAGGTAATCTTTGCTTTTAAGTATTTCGCAATATCATTTGCTTTGAAAATTTATTGCTTGTGGTCTTATGATTGCCTTTTGTCTGTCTGAAAAATGAGCTGCTTCTACCAATTGGAATGTTAAATTTTTAATGATGGAAACATTTTGCAAATGGCTTCATTTGGAAAAATAGAATGCCTATTGGATAGGCTAGTTGTGGTAGCTTTAGATTCACATAATTGTGGTTGCTTAAAACGCCTTTGCCTACTTCCAAGAATAAAACACAAGAAAGGTCTCACCTGCACCAGTGGTATTTAATTAGTACTTAGAAATGATAATGCTTTCTGTTTTTTTGGAGAGAGGGTTGGGAGCCTGGCTGAACTTTTTTTTTTTTTCCAAATACTCAATGCAATTGTGAGCTAGGGACCAGATAGGATTTGCTTTTCTGATATTTTTCTATGACTCCTTATTTGGTGGAGAATTGATCTTTTAGGAAGGAGTCTCATGATTATTTTTATGTCCTTCATTTGGTAGCGTCAGCATGAGATGATAACCTTTTTCTTGACTTCTTAGAGACAGGTCCTTTTTAAGCCTCCAAAGAAATTAGTTTCTTAGATTGTTGTTATTCAATCGCATGATTAACTACATACTTTCATAATGAGATCTTTCGATGATGCATTCATCTTTAGATTTAGTCAAAAACAAATGATTGAAGAAACTTTGTTTGGTTGCATTCATGTTTTTCCTTCTTACTTTCTGTGTGTATTAATAGATCTTGGTCTAGGTTATTGATTTACCGTAAAATAATTGACTGCTGTCGGTTTCTGTAATCTAGAGTTGGGAGAAAACTGTGGACTGTTACAGTCCAGGGCAAGGGTTGATGCCTGCAAGTTTTAAAGTTAGAACAGTGCCCCTTGATGATAACAAATATGAAGAAGTTCTAGACCCAGATTTTGGGGAGTCAGCTATTGGCCGCGTAGCACCTGTTGATTCAGGTAAGTGTTTATTTTTGTTTAATACTAAGTCCCTTAATTGCTGGTTATTCAGGGGAGAATTCAAACTTATTGTTTATTAACCAGTGATCGAACATTTGGGAACTGTTAATTACTTTTTGATCAGTTGAAGAAAAAGTAGCCTTAACAAGAGGAAAACTTTTCTCACATTTTCGCTTACCATAGAAAATACGTACAACTTTTTCCAATTAGACCAATATACTGTTCTGTTTGTACATATTTACAAAAATGGAAAGTGGATGCCAATATGGACTGGACCAAAATAGTAAATTGTTCGTTGAATGTAAGAAGAGAGTATTAATTCTTACCTTTCTTAAAAGAAAATGTAAGAAGATAGTATCTAGATTCTATTCACCATAGGTGTTTATCACTAGTGAAGAGGAAGTATTTCACGGTTATAGTAAATTGTTTTATTTCCTTTTAGACATCCTCTAGAAAAACTAAATGCTCAAAGAATATCAAGAGAGGAGTGTAAGGGAAGAAATGCATCAGTAAAGGGACCAGCTCAGAAGTTTTGTCACTTTATTTCACTTTATTTCCATCCGGTAAATGGACATTGAAAGATCTAAAATTGTGACTTTTTCAGGCTTGTGGTGGATTATCTTGTTGAGAGCTTATGGGAAGATCACCGGTGATTATGGATTACAAGAAAGAGTGGATGTACAGACTGGCATAAAGCTGATATTGAACCTGTGTCTGTCTGATGGTTTTGATATGTTCCCTTCTTTGCTAGTCACTGATGGTTCCTGCATGATAGATAGGCGTATGGGTATTCATGGACATCCGCTTGAGATTCAAGTAAGTTGAATTTGCTAAAATTTTCTTTGAAATTCTTCTTTGAATGTTACAAGTGGCAGTCAGTTCCTTTTTTTAGTTTAATATACATTTCAAGTTCATCTTGTGAGTCTTTCCTTAACCTGGTATGCTGACATTGGTGAATACTTTTATGATAGAAGCTGCTTACGGTAGGATATTACAGTGAATTAGATTGGTTATAGATGAGGTCTATGAACTTTTGGAGGGATACTTGGAACTTGATCTGTCCTTAATTTACATTGTAGAGAGGATGACATAAGCTTAATATTTTTACTTTATATTGAGAAGTGTAGGATTACTAGTGCAAAGGACCCTCCACCTGCAGCAATGAGGTTAGAGGTTTAGGGGAGTGGCTTTACCAAATCACAGATAATAATTTATTCTATATATTTGTGTTGCACATGTTAAGGAAGTGATCTGAGATGCTATCGTTGTTTCCTTCTGTGATTCTCTCTTTGATCTTTTCTGGGCTTGACATGTTTGATGTTGCAGGCTTTATTTTACTCAGCACTTAGGTGTTCCCGCGAGATGCTTTCTCTGGATGAAGGATCCAAGAATTTGGTGAATGCCATAAACAACCGACTTAGTGCATTGTCATTTCACATTAGAGAATATTATTGGGTTGATATGAAGAAGATCAATGAAATATACCGATATAAGACAGAGGAGTATTCCACTGACGCCACTAACAAATTTAACATCTACCCTGAACAAATCCCTCATTGGTTGATGGACTGGATCCCTGAGGAAGGTGGTTATCTTATTGGCAATTTACAGCCTGCCCACATGGACTTTAGATTCTTCACACTTGGAAATCTGTGGTCCATTGTGTCATCTTTGGGTACCCCAAAACAGAATGAGGCGATCCTGAATCTGATTGAAGCAAAATGGGACGATATTGTGGGTTCCATGCCCCTTAAAATATGTTACCCTGCTCTGGAGAATGAAGAGTGGCGTATAATCACTGGTAGTGACCCTAAGAACACGTGANATGTATTTATTTTGTCTTTGGGGTGCTAGGAGGCTGAGCAATTTTTCAACAACCGTTATACATGTTTTTTATCTTTTAGTTAAAATTGCGGTGTCCTGGATAAATTGGTAAGTAAAACAGTGATCTTAGTGTTTGTCCAGTAAATTGAACCACTGAATTATATAGAAAGCCCAAAATTTCCATAACACAGACTGAAGAACCAGATTATATTTATTGAAAGAAAAGAAAGACCCAGATTAAGAGTTTTCTATCCCTCCTTTTGATTTAATTAAAGATGATGTAGCCGCTGAATGCTGAATTTAAAATGACTGAAATCTATAACGATTATTCGTAAATGCATGTGGGACTAGTGCAGAATTCCATAATGCTTTACCCGTTAATTTTCTCCTTACGGTACGTTGGTTTTCTTGAATTGATGCTTAAGATGATAAACTAATGTTGGCTAAAAGCTATTCTAATAAAAGTCGCTACTTGCTCTCAGCTTTACTGTTTTATGATGTTGCTCTTTCTATTCTTTCAGTTCACGCTGGCATGTATCAAGATGAATAGGACTGATCTGGCTAAGAAGGCAGTTGATTTAGCTGAGAAAAGGCTTCGGGTGGATCAGTGGCCTGAATATTACGATACAAGGTACGGCAAGTTTACGGGAAAACAAGCCCGGCTTTACCAAACGTGGACTATAGCTGGTTTTCTGACATCGAAAATGCTATTGGAAAATCCAGAGATGGCTTCATTGCTATTCTGGGAAGAAGATTATGATCTTCTTGAGATTTGTGTTTGTGCTCTTAAGAAATCTGGAAGGAAAAAGTGCTCACGCGGTGCTGCCAAGTCTCAGATCCTTGTATGAGTTAACCATCATTCTTTCAGAGGTTAACACATTCTACATGTACAGGAAATATAGTTAGGATTAGGGTATCACACCCCTTGGGTGCAGTTCTTCTCCGGACCCGGACCCTGCGTGAATGCGGGATACTTCGTGCACCGGTCTGCCCTTTTAAGGGTATGTCTAGAGGGTTTTTCAACCTCAAGACTTATACAGCAGGATGTTTTATTTTTTCACACAGCATTATGGAATTACCATTGATTTGTAAGCCAGTTTATTGTAATAGTTATCAACTTAGGAAATGAAACCAAATTTCCTTTAAGGCCTTCATAACAGGCATCTGCCGGAATTAATCTGTATATATACTATACAATGCAATGATGATTATGGGAGTGAATTATTATCTTTTGTCTTTATGAATGATATTTGGTCACTTTTTTTTTGCTTTATACGAGGGGTCTGGTCTTAACTCTTAATAGTAGCTTATTATTTATCTTTAGTATGTATGGTTATAATGTGGTTCGATGTTGGGAGTAAAACAAAGACGACTACATTGACGTCTAATGTAAATGGGTGGAAAAATAAAAAAGAGAGTTTGCATTTTACAGCCCTGATTTGTTTTTGTGATTTGAATCATATCTTAATATTTTTAATAATTTACACTCTAATCTCTTTATTTCCTTACAAAATAATAAAATCATTCTTTATCTCAAGAAAATATGAAGAAATGAAAGATATGCTGCAAATGAAAAAGAGGTCAAGTGTTAAACAAGTAGCGTGCTAATTATAATTAATTTTCAAATTAGCATCCACCTCACTATCTTTCGACAAAAGTCACAAAATTAACTCTTGTCATTTTAAAATCACTGAACTTAGAATTGATTACTTAAAACTTAAAATCAATCTAATCCGAAAATCCATCAACTCTCATAGGAAGCCAAGTAGGCATGCCAAATAATCTAAAATATCGAGGTAAGAACTTATCTGTCAAATTTATTTTCTTAGCAACTAGTCATAAATTCATTAGCATTTGAAAAATTAACTCTGCTGATCACTAATTTGAATAAATAATCAAAACAAGAGAAGGAAAAAGAGGAAGGGAAAAAAAAAGGAGTTCTTGGGACCCGGTGAAGGAGAGAATACCAGTTGCGACTGGAACAAATGAATCTTCAAAACAAATCTCTATACATTTTTGCATAATGAATCAAAGATTCCTACCTTCTTTAATATTAGGCACATTCATTAAACCGATTTGTTTAGTTTTAAGTTTATGTTTCAGTTTAAGCAATGAATGCAAGAAAACTAGTGTCCCAAACTCATTATACTCAAATTCCTCAAACTATCCGAAACTCTCTTCTCTGTGCTGGAATCTGCCCGCCCTATTCAAACTCACCATTTTTACCAAAGCCTCCTTCTATCTTAGCCACTGGCCTTCTCAAATTGTATTTTGAAAGGGGTCTCGTTAGAGAAGCACGTACACTGTTCGATGAAATGCCCGAAAGAGACGTTGTTGCTTGGACGACCATGATTTCTGGGTACACTTCATGTAATCACCATGCACGTGCTTGGGTGGTTTTCTGTGAGATGATGAGGTATACGGATGTGCGCCCCAATGAGTTCACCTTTTCTAGCACGTTGAAGGCTTGTAAAGGGATCAATTCGTCCTCTCGTGGAGCTTTGATTCATGGTTTGGTTCTTAAGCAAGGCATGAGTGTAAGTATTTATGTTGCGAATGCGCTCTTGGATGTCTATGCTACGTGTTGTGTTAATATGGATGAAGCATCTGCGGTTTTTCATGAAATTAGAGTGAAAAATGATGTGTCTTGGACTACCTTAATCGCGGGATATACTCATCGTGGTGACGGCAATATGGGGCTTAAAGTTTTTAGAAGAATGTTACTGGTACGTATTTAGATATTTTCTTGTAAAAGGCCAGTTAATGCGCATACGAAATGGTGTTTATTTGTTATCGCTTGAAAGCTAGACTGTATCATATTCAATGAAGTGCTACTTGCAGCAAGTCCTTTGTGACTCGAAAATGTAGTGGATCTAGTACTGCATGTAGTTTAATTTGAAAGCTACTTCAAGTTTGAATAAGCGATACTCAAAAACATGTAAATCATTGCTTGGACTGTATGTACGTTTTGTTGCATGATCAGTGAAAGCCTTACCTAGTTGCTTCAATAAAAATAAGTTGCTAACATAATACAAATGGAAATTTTGATTCTAACCTTTCATGCTTTTTTTTGTGTGTGTTTGGATGGACAGGAAGAGGGTGAATCAAACCCATTTAGCTTTTCAATTGCAGTTAGAGCTTGTGCCTCGGTCCATTCATGTATATACGGGAAGCAACTTCATGCTGCAATCATCAAGCATGGCTTGGACTTTAATCTACCCGTAATGAATTCTATTTTAGATATGTATTGTAGGTCTAGCAGCTTAACTGATGCAAAGCAATGCTTCCGTGAAATGACTCAAAGGGATTCAATTACGTGGAACACTTTGATTGCTGGGTACGAGAAGTCTGATCCATATGAGTCTATCAGCATATACTCGAGTATGGAGTCTGAAGGTCTTAGCCCCAACTGCTTCACATTTTCCAGCGTTGTAGCAGCTGTGGCCAATTTGGCAGTTTTGAGTTGTGGAGAGCAGATTCATGGAAGAATCATAAAGAGAGGCCTTGGCGGGAACTTGGAGTTGGACAATGCCTTAATAGATATGTATGCAAAGTCTGGAAACATTGCAAGTGCACGTAGAATTTTTGATGAAATGCCCAAGAAAAATCTGGTTTCATGGACCTCAATGATGATTGGTTATGGAAACCATGGTTACGGAAATGAAGCTGTTGACTTTTTTGAAGAGATGGTTAAATTTAGAGTCAGGCCAGATAGAATAGCTTTTGTGGCAGTTTTAAATGCATGTAGCCATGCTGGGCTTGTAGATAAAGGTTTAAGGTATTTTATCTCAATGGTTGGTGATTACAACATAGCTCCAGATCAGGAGATTTTTGGGTGTTTAGTAGATTTGCTAGGACGTGCTGGAAGAGTTGAGGAGGCTTTTAAGTTGATAGAGAGTATGCCATTTGATCCTGATGAATCTGTTTGGGGAGCATTCCTGGGAGCATGTAAAGCACACAATCTTCCAGATTTGGGCAAACTGGCCATGAAAAAGGTGTTGGCTTTTAAGCCGAAAATTGCAGGAACCTATGTGATTTTGTCAAATATCTATGCAGCTGACGGTAAATGGGGTGACTCTGCGAAAATGAGGAAGTTGATGAGAAGGGTGGCTACTAAGAAAGAGGCTGGGAGAAGTTCAGTAGAGATAAAGAATCAGAACTATAGTTTTGTTGCTGGAGATAAGATGGGTTCACATATGGACTGCGTTTATGAAGTTGTAAATATCCTGGTTGAACACATGAGCGGCGTACGATATATTCCTGATTTTGACTTCTTTATACATGATTTTGAAGATGAACTTGAAAAGTAACCGCACTGAGGTTCAACGGGACTTCATTGTTGTATCTGTTAATGTATTTATTCTTTGGGGGCAGTGGAATTCAGTTAGATGCAAAGTAAGATAGATTCGTTTTTCCCGGAAGGCACATCACATTTTGTGCAAGAAGAGATTTTTTAAGAAAGTTGAGGAAGGGAGGATAACCAATCCCCTTTGTTCAATAGTTAATACTCTGAGAGAAGGAACTAGCAAACGATTGTATACTCGTGTAATTTACATAAAATATCACCCCTTCTGTATTTTCAAGATAATGAACTGACTTTTGAGTCGAATGCATTGGCCTGATGCAATATATTGGAAGTTTAGAAAAAGCACGATCTTGATTATACCCAACTTGGAGTCTAGTGGATTTTCAGTCTTCTAAAATGCTCTTGGAACCAGCGAGGGCACATTGTTATCATGGGAAGAACCCTGTGATCTTCTTGAAATTCATTTCTGTGCTCTTTACCTTGTCTGGAAGGAAAAATAGCTCAGTACCAAACATGACTAGAGTGGATATGATACAAGACATTTTCGTGGGAAAGTAAGCTCGATTGCACAAGTAAATCCAGTAGATCTTCTGACTTATAAAAGGCTCTTGGAAGATCCAGCGATGAGTACATTGTTATTGTGGGAAGAACAATATGATCCTTTAGAGGCTTGTCTTCGCTCTCTTTGAGATTTCTGGAAGGAAAAATTGCTCAAGTGGTTGCTAAGTCTCAGATTCGTTTACTAAATGACCGTTCTTTAGGAGGTGAAACACATTCTACTTACATGTCAAACTGGTTAAGATTGGTTAAATATTTGTCTGGAGGGTATTGTCGAATTTCTATTGTTTGAGCTAGTCAGTTGCAATAGCTCATTGACTTGGGGGAAAATGTTGTAACGTCATGCACGACATAATTTCAAGCACCAGTGAACGTAGTAATAAAATGTGGCTGATCCCAGATTGGTGCCCACTGGTGACAGTCATTGTGAAATCAGAGGCTGCGCTGAAACAACAAATGCAGAACAGATGATTCTATGCTAGATAGCTAGTGCTCAAGCGGAGTTAACAGAGATTTGGTTGATTAAGCAGGCAGATACGTACTATTTGACCGCCATTCTCCAAATTAATAGAATACATCATATCACTACAAAAATGGAGCAAATATCAAAATTACAAGCCTACGGCCATGGAAAACCTTCGTGTTGCTTTGCCGATGAGATGCTACTTTATCTAGAACACAAGTTGTGGTTCTGAGTTTAAGAATATCATGGTACATGGCAGTATTACAAGATTGCTGGTACATTGGGTCCATATTTCTCCACCAAGAGCCCCAACCCATTTGCTTCCCCCATATAGCATAAATTTCTTCGCTGATTCATCAACCACTACAAAAATTCTTCAACGTACTGCAAGAATAGCACAGAGATGTCACCCTAATTCTGTATGCTGAATATATGAACTGCCTCTGGTTGTCTCTCCCATCGTGTCTAAGGAAATATTCCTTTTGTCAATCAACTGTAAAGATACCAGGAAAACAAAAAGGGTCAATTCTTTTCTGTTACTGACAACCTTAAATTGTTAGTTGCACCAAAAATTGCACCGCAAGAACTATATGAGTGGAAGGCGGAAAAGTTACTCCTGGTTCAAGAACTTGAGTAACCAAAAAGAACTTGCGTTATTATATAAAACAGACTACTTACCCCAACTCTTCTGTGAAGGAAGTGCTAGTAAATTATGCTAGCATTGATTATCCAAAATTGATATAGACATGTATATAGTAATGTTGTATAGGTTTAAAACCAATATAACAGTAGCATCCAAAATCTTATTCACCTATTCAGCTTCAATAGATGTTCAAGAACGAGGTAGATGCTGATTAAATACGTAGAGAAGCTCCTCCTAGAGCCTGTAATGGCTAAGCTCCCAATGCGCTCAGGGTGGCAGCCTTTGGAACCTACATCTGAATTGGTGCCAAATCTGAGTTCGAGTGCATAATTAGATACTTCAGACTTAATTCAACTACTGCAATGCAAGCAGTTGTGACTACAACATAGCAACAATGTACAAATACCTGGTAGACTGAGTGACCAAAAATTTCAATTTTGACTACGAGCTCCTTCTGTGCTACAGATCAAAATGCAGTCAACAAAGATGTTCAAGGAGCACAATCTGAAATATGTGAAGGAGATCTTGATAAGAGATGACAAGAACTCGAGCAGAGTGAAAAACTTAAGAAGCTTTAAATCCAAAAGTAGCATCAGAGCACTTGCCTTACTGTCCATATCCATGCTAAAAGTCAGTTTGCCCAGAATGTAGATTGAAATGCAATGCATGTATTCCCATTTGGGAGACGATGGCCTAATTGGAGCCTCACACAGTTCATACATGAACGGCAGCCAGTTAATGTTGCAAAGGAAGATTTAGGCATTCAAGTTGAACAACCTCCATAGTTCCTTATGGCCCAACAACCGAGTATTAGTTACCAAAATTCCTTACAGGAACAAGACCCATCCTTAAAATGGTGAAAGCGATGCCGATCCCTAACCACAATTTCGCGATTAAAAGCTTTTGATATTAGCTTTGCTGCCGTATGACAATCATTACATATTCGTAAGTTCTTTATAATTCTTATTGGAGTTGGAGGAGTGATAGAAATGAGCCCATAAGCAATTGCTAGCTTTTCACTATGTCTAAACAGGGTACTTTCTTTTTCTTCCTCATCAATATCAAGTAAAACCTCATCTGTGCCTGGAGCATAGCCCATTACTTTCAACCGATTTTCCATTTCAGCCAACATTGTTTCGATTTCATTCATCTGCGGATGAGACTTGTCCCCTGCCAAGAATTCATGAACAGCACCATTTGCTTCAATCATACTGCAGCCGGGAACTTTAACGACTCCCTGCCGCGTCATTGCTCCTCTAATATCCAGAACACTATCCCAATTACCTTTTGAGGCAAATATGTTGGACAATAACACATGAAACCCATCATGATCTGGCTGAAGTTCAATGAGCTTCCTTCCAACCCTCTCCCCCATTTCACTATTACCGTGTTTTCTGCAAGCTCCAAGAAGAGCACCCCAAGTGGCAACATCAGGAGCCATAGGCATACTGTCAATAAGCGTCTCAGCTTCTTTCAACAACCCTGCACGTCCAAGTAGATCAACCATGCATCCGTAGTGCTTGATATTAGGTTCAACATTGTAATATCTGGTCATACTATCAAAGTAGGAACGGCCCTCATCTACTAGGCCCATATGTCGACAGGCACCAAGAACTGCCACGAAAGTAACCTCATTAGGGGTTACACCACATTCCTTCATTTCCTGAAATATTGCTAGTGACTTTTCCACCTGCCCATTCATGGCCAACCCAAGAATTAAAGCATTCCAAGAAGAAACCCCTTTTTCTTCCATTCCATTGAAGACTTCCAATGCATTCTCCACACAACCACATTTCAAGTACATGTCAGTAAGAGTTGTACCGAGAATGATATTCACTTTGAGCCCCTTTTTTCTTATGTAAGCATGGATCCATTTTCCTTGATCAAGGGCAGACAAATGGGTGCAAGCCGAAAGAACACTAACCAAAGTAGTTTCGTCGGGCTTATTGTCCTCATGCAGCATCTCCTGAAACAGGGCTAAAGTTTCCGAGAAATTATCATGTTGCGCATAACCAGATATCATTGTAGTCCATGACACAACATCCTTCTCAGGCATGGAATTGAATAATTCTCTAGCCTTCTCCACACAACCACATTTCAAGTGGCCAGAGATCATTGAGTTCCAAGATATCTGGTCCAAATGACTACTCGTATCAAACAATCTTTGTGCAGCCATTACATCTCCACAGGTGGAGTACATATGAATGAAAGCATTTTGAAGGTTGACATGAGATTCAAAACCAACTCTGATAACCAATCCATGTATTGATTCTCCTGTCTGAACAACCAACAAGTGTGCACATGCAGATAGCACACTTATCACAACAACCTCATCTATGGAAATGCCATTAGCACACATTTGCATAAATAAATCCAAAGCTTGTTTGTACATCCCATGTTGCTCATAGCAAGAAATCAAAGCAGTCCAAGAAACCACATCTTTTTCCTTCATCTTATTGAATAATTGACAAGCCTCGGTCATCCAACCACATCTACCCAACAGTACAATCATAGAATTGGATGCAATAACATTCTTCATAGGCATCTTATCAAAAATTACTGTTGCCTCTTCAACTTTTCCAACCTGTACATAACCTGCCAGTATCGAATTCCACGAGACCAAGTCCAGCACAGGACTTTCATCAAACAGCTTTCTTGCATCAATCATGTTTTCGCAAACAGCATACATGTTAATCAAAGTGTTATTGACATAAACATCCGATCTGTATCCCGTTTTAATAACATGATTATGAAACTCTTTTCCTTCTATTTCCGATAATCTAACTGTGCTGGCTTGAACCAGAAGAGGAAACGTATAATTATCAATACATACATTATTCTTCAACATTGATTTATACAAAAAGATTGTATTTTGAGGCTGGTTTTGCTGTAAATAAGCTCTCATCATGGTATTACAAATAAAACCATTTGGGTTTTCGATGTAATCAAAGATTTTATGAGAGTAATTAACGTGAATGAAAAGGGAGTCAGTAGAAAATTTGAGAATCCTGCTTGCAGCATATGTATCTTTGATGAACCCAGTGGAGATCATCTGAGAAAGAATTTTCCCAAAATGCTTGAAAGTTCGGCATTTTAGCAGAAGATCCTCCAATATTGAGAGGTTTATGGTTGTTTTTGAGGTGGGTTTTTGAACAGGATTTGACTTGAAGGGTGAAAAGGCACATACCTTTGTCAAATTCATGTACTTATGTCCTTGTTTGCAGATGTAAATAAGGTAATGAAGGAGCTAAGAGATGTCGCCGGAGCACCGGATTCCGATAATCGGGGAATTCTGTTTGTTTTTTCTGGTTTGTTTTCGCGCCTTTCTTGTTTTGTTGTTGTGGAGAAAAGGGGTTATAGTGTATTTAAATTATGCATCAGTTTTTAATGGTGATATTTCAATCCCCTCAATTTCTCCTATGTTTGAAACAAATTACACCTCAAGGTCTTTGCTCGTTTTTTCCCTCCTCCTTTTCATCATTTGAAGTTAGATAATTTATCTTTATTTAAAAGCTAATAAATATAGAATTCAAATAAATTACTAATAAATTGTTATAAAATAAAGACAGTAAAGTAAAGACAAGTATAGAGAGAAACTGATATATTATTCAAACTTAAAATTTATGTACATAATGAATTGAATTCTGAAGAAAGGAAGATGTTGTGTAAGCTGCTGCTGCAAGCTACTGTGTAAGCTGCTACTCTAAGTTGTTGTGCCAGATATAGATAATCTTCTACCATGGGCAATATTTATCCATAACGGAGTACCGAAAGGATAAGCTTCTTCAGGAGGCTTATTTCCAATAGAGTACTAAATAGATAAATATATTTACGGTGGAGTCTCATATGGATAAGCTTCTTCAGGAAGCTTATTTACAACGGAGTACTAAATGAATATTCATAATATAATATATTTATAACACTCCCCCTTGGATATTCATTAAAAGATAATGTGCCTCATTAAAACTTTACTAGGAAAAAACCCCGTGAAAAAAAATCCTAAAGAAGAAAAAAGAGTACATATATTTAGTAATACGCATTGCTAGCTGCCTCATTAAAAATCTTATAAGGAAAACCATGTGGGAAAAAAACCTTAGTAAGGAAAAAAGAGTACATCGCGTATTTTACTCCCCCTGATGAAAATCTTATTTTAAATATTTAAGTCTCCGCATTCCAATATTGTATACCATCTTCTCAAAAGTTGAAGTTGGTAAAGATTTAGTGAATAAATCTGCCGGATTGTCACTTGAACAGATTTGTTGCACATCAATGTCACCATTTTTCTGAAGATCGTGTGTGTAGAATAATTTTGGTGAAATGTGCTTCGTTCTATCTCCTTTTATAAATCCTCCCTTCAATTGGGCTATGCATGCAGCATTGTCTTCGTATAAAATTGTGGGTCTTTTCTCACATTCCAAACCACATTTTTCTCGAATAAAATGAATTATTGATCTCAACCATACGCATTCCCTACTTGCTTCATGAATAGCTATTATTTCAGCATGATTTGAAGAAGTAGCAACAATAGATTATTTTGTGGAGCGTCATAATATGATAGTACCTCCACATGTAAAAACGTACCCGGCTTGAGATCTAGCTTTATGGGGATCAGATAAATAACCTGCATCTGCATAACCAACAAGATCTGCACTATCTTTGTTAGCATAAAACAAACTCATATCAAGAGTTCCCTTTAAATATCACAATATATGCTTAATCCCATTCCAATGTCTCCGTGTAGGAGAAGAACTATATCTTGCTAGTAAATTAACAGAAAATGCTATGTCAGGCCTTATAGCATTAGCAAGATACATTAGTACACCAATTGTACTGAGATAGGGTACTTCGGGACCAAGAAGTTCTTCATCCTCTTCTGGAAGTCGGAACAAATTTTTATTCACTTCAAGTGATCGAACAACCATTGGTGTACTTAATGGGTGCACTTTTTCCATGTAAAAGCGTTTTAAGGCCCTTTCTGTATAGGCAGATTGATGGATAAAGATCTCGTCTGCTAAATGTTCAATTTTCAGACCAAGACAAAGTTTTGTCTTTCCAAGATCTTTCATCTCAAATTCTTTCTTAAGATATTCAATTGCCTTTTGGAGCTCTTCTGAAGTTCCAACAAGATTTATGTCATCAACATAAACAGCAAGTATAACAAATTCTGAAGCCATTTTCTTTATAAAAATACATGGACAAATAACATCATTTATGTAACCCTCTTTCAGCAAATATTCATTGAGGTGATTATACCACATGCGCCCAGATTGCTTTAAACCGTACAAAGATTTTTGTAATCTGATTGAGTACATTTCTCGAGATTTTTAATATGCTTCAGGCATTTTAAATCCTTCAGGGATTTTCATGTAAATTTCATTATCAAGTGACCCGTACAGATAAGCTGTAACCGCATCCATTAGATGTATTTCAAGCCTTTCACGTAAGGCTAAACTGATGAGATATCAAAATGTTATGACATCCATAACGGGAGAATATGTTT